GACACGGGATATTATTTCAAAAGTGAACAAACTAATCAATTTAATATACAATAAGAAAATATAGTACACTAATATAGTAAAATATAATAATATAGTATTATAAATGTTACATATTAAGATTTAACAAATCGAATTTCTATATTTATCTCTTAAGATTTGAGATATATTTAGGGGCGCAAGTTGGAACGGAAATTCCAATTTCCGACGGTTCCGATCCGAAAAGTTCCGATTTTGGAACAACTTTTTTCATTCCGACTTCCGAATTTCCGATTTCCGAATTTTTCCGATTTTTTTGGATTGGAATTGGAATTATATAAAATAAATTTGGAATTTCCGATTTCCGATCCGATTTGATTCCGAAATTAATTCCGAAAAATTCCGATGTTTTTCCGAAAAATACACCTATAAATAATAAATATTATATAATACTTATCTTTCCGAAAAATACACCTTTAAGTTTTGTTTTACGATTTTGACATAATGAATTGTTGTTAGAAGTTTTATTAGATATTATGTTGTGTTTATGTTTATTTATTTTTTGAACTGAAATTTAGTAGTTATTAGTTTTACTTTTTTCGACGTGGATGTTCTTATTTTTGGAAAATTATGAACATTTTTAAAAAAATCCGCTAAGTTTTGAAATTTTTAAGCTCATGTGGTTTCCGATTTTTTTCCGAAATTCCGAAAATTCCGGGACTTTTGGAATTGGAATGAATTTTTAGATTCCGAAAATTTTGGAATTGGAGTTGGAATTGATTTTGTACTTCCGATTTTTTTTGGAAATGTTCCGAAAAGGCTAATTCCGATCCGATCCATCCGACTTTCACCCCTAGATATATTGATGAAAAATAGGAAATTGATAATTGTTGAAAATTATAGTTAGAAATTAGTACAGAATAATATTAAAATCAAATAATTACAGAAATAACATTAGGGTTTTTTTAGGGTTGCCCATCGTTTCTTTCTTTTATATATAAGATGCTCGGGATATTATTTCAAAAGTGAAAAAAAAAATTTAATCAATTTAATATATAATAAGAAAATATAGTACACTAACATAGTAAAATATAATAATGTAATATTATAAATGTTACATATTAAGATTTAACAAATCGAATTTCTATATTTATCTCTTAATTAGATTTGAGATATATTGATGAAAAATAGGAAATTGATAATTGTTGAAAATTATAGTTAGAAATTAGTACAGAAAAAATATTAAAAATAAATAATTACAGAAATACCATTAAAGTTTTTTAAGGTTGTCCAGCGTTTCTTTCTTTTATATATAAGATATAGATAGATTAAGGCAAACCCAAAATCAATTGCTTTTGATAAATTATATTATTTTCTTAACCGAAATTCAAAACCGACAAATTTGTTCAATATTACATAATTCAAAAGTAATTTATATCGGCAAAGGTAATAAAACTAATAAGATATGACTTTTTGATATACCTAATTGGGCCGACCCAATGGGCCCCCAATTTATCTAATAACTGGGAGCACTACACGAAAGCCCAAGCACCTTCAAAATAAGTCTTGGGCCCAACAAAGTAAACCCAACCCAATCAACGACATATAAATAGAGGTTCTTACTTATTTGTTAAGGTAGGTTCTATTATTCACATGTAATCTAGAGCGTTTATTCTCTCTACCATCTCTACGATCCGTACATCTGACTTGAGCGTCGGAGGGGTTCCCGTCGGATCAACCCCCGGCTTAGTTCACGTGTGTTCATTTCGCAGGGACCTCAGGATCATCAAATTGTCAAGCTACTGATCCGCTTTGCTCTCCTAGCTCGTTCACCACACTACCCCAGGTGATCTAAGTAATTAGCATCATTATTTTGGCGTCGTATGTGGAAGTGCAAACCAGATCACGTAGCCAGCAAGATCCTCCTGATGCATCCGCTCGGAGAGAGAATGACACAACTAACAACCTCCCGATCCGCGGAGGCTCTGGCTTGCCACCTCCTCCCCGTGCTTCGGATCCCCCTCGCGATCTCCAAGTGGATCCCCCTCGGGATTCTCCCCTCGCCGATCCGCCACTCCCTCCTCCCCGAACGATTCAGATAACCGAGGATGCGCTCCAACGCATGATAGCAGAAGCCTCAACTCGCGCCGCCACAGAGACCGTGACCCAATACATCGCCACGATAGGAGCAAATGCTCCCAACGCAATATCCGCAGCTGCTCCACCTGTGGTGCTGCCCATGGCACCATCGCCAGTCTAGAACCGCATAAGTGTCTTCTCATCCACCTCGAACCCACGGTCCCGAGTGCAACTATCCACTAATCACAGGAGGGCACAGCCCAGACAACAACGTCAACGCTCACCCCCACGGTGTAATGCGTCTCACGGAGAGTCACTCTCTTTAATGAGGGAGAAGGCGAGGTAAACAGCGGAATATCTCGCCAAATTTCCATCCCCCAATAGAACAATCCAATTGGCTGAAGAATGAATGCCCTAGTAAGACGCATTCCTTTCACCATGGACATTCTCAACGAGGTACTACCTCAAGGAGTGAAGATCTCAGGGTTACCTCAGTTTGAAAGAACCACCGACCCACAAGAACACATAGAGAAATTTCACGCCATGGCAGATTTGTATGGCCCAACAGATGCCGCAATGTGCAAAATGTTCCGCACCACTCTCTCCAAGCGGGCCATGAATTGGTTCAAATCTCAACCTACAGGATCAATCGACACCTTCGTTCGATTGTCGCAACGCTTCACCGACCAATTCGCCATCAACAAACAATATGCTAAGACCCCAGCACACATTTTCTCTGTAGTACAGAGAGACAACGAAACGCTCCGCAACTACATCAAGCGTTTCGTGGAAGCCGTCCACGAAGTCCCAAGCGTAGGACAAGACATGCTCTCCGGGATCATGCATCTGAACTTGAAGTCGGGTAGGTTCAAAGAATCTATTGCCGGAAGGACTCCAAGAAACCTAGAGGAATTGTTGAACCGAGCTGAGAAATACGTACGAATAGAGGAAGCCTCTACCCATGCTCCTCCCAAGAGGAAGAGGGATGATGACCGACAGGACGTTAGGAGACGGGATGATCGACGACCACCACCCCCATCTCAAGGCCAATCATCTTCCTCCTACAATCGATTCACCCCGCTAAACACTCACCTCACTGAAATCCTTCATGTGATAGAACAAAGAGGTCTACCAAAACCTCCACGCCCAATGAAGCCCGATGCAGCCCAATGCGAAACGAGAAAAATCGGATCGCTATTGTCGATTCCATAAGGATAGAGGACATACTACCGAGGAATGTGCACAACTCAAATTGGCAATTGAGAGGCTGATCAAGCAGGGCCACTTAGGTGAATACATTGATAAGCCTCAAAATAAGCGCCGTGATGATCTCCCACGCCGAGATAACAATCGAGATCAACTACCGCGACGAGAGGAGGGCGGTCATCGACGCGAACAAGATAACAATGATACCCAACCCACCCGGGGAGTCATTGCTTTTATCTTCGGAGGACTGGCGGGCGGCGACTCACAAAATGCGAGACGTACCCTCGCTCGGTCAGCACGTATGAATCAAGAGCACGCTTCTCCATCCGCATCTATCTATCAGATAAGAAGACAATCGTAGCATAGTCTTCGATCGTTGAGGACGATAGAGATAGAACAACAACTAATCAACTTCATGCGACACAATGAAGACGTGTTCACGTGGAAGGCCCAAGACTTGTAGGGCATTCCCCCTCAGGTAGCTCTACATCGGCTCAACGTCGATAAAAGGTGTAAGCAGATCAAACAAAGGAAGCGGACATTTGGTCCCGAACGCAACAAACACATCAAAGCGGAAGTGGCAAAACTTTTAGAGGCAGGCCATATACGACCAGTTCAGTATCCTGAATGGTTGTCGAACGTAGTACTTGTTCCCAATTCCGGAGGCAAGTGGAGATTGTGGGTGGACTTCAATGATCTCAACAGAACTTGCCCGAAGGACCCCTTTCATTTACCTAGAATCGACCACCTCATCGATTCGACCTCGGGATGCGAGCTCCTCAGCTTCCTTCACGCGTATCAAGGATACAATCAAATCTTGCTCGCCCCAGACGATCAAGAGTGGGCCCCTTCGTCATAGATCAAGGCATCTACTGCTACCGAGTCATGCCTTTCGGGTTAAAAAATTCATGGGCTACTTACCAACGTTTAGTGAACGCAATGTTCGCAGACCAAATCGGCAAGAATATGGAGGCATACATCGACGACATGCTTGTGAAAAACGTCAAGGTCTCGGACCACTTAGCCGATTCGGATCAGTGTTTCGCCATCCTGCAAAAATACAAGATGAAACTCAACCCCCTCAAATGTTCGTTCGGAGTTCGGGGAGGTAAATTTCTGGGGTATATGATTTCACAACGAGGAATCGAAGCTAATCCCACAAAAATCGAAGCCATCACCTTCATGGCTCCACCAACATCGGTCAAGAAAGTCCAACAACTAAACAGCTGCTTGGCATCGTTGAACAGATTCATTTCAAGATCGGCAGACAGGGCCCTCCCCTTCTTCAAGATTTTAAGGGGAGGAAAAAAATTTGAATGGGATGAAGCTTGTCAAAAAGCTTTCGTCGAGCTGAAGTCATATCTTGCGTCTCCACCCTTACTCACGAAACCTCAGCCCGGAGACACCCTCCTCCTATAGTTAGCGATCTCAGCTGATGCCATCAGCGCATTCCTCATCTGAAATGGAGAAAAAGGCCACCATCCCATATACTACATAAGTCGCACCCTCCAAGGAGCCGAGCAACGCTATACCAACATGGAGAAACTTGCCCTCGCCCTCATCAACGCAGCTCGGAAACTCCGACCTTACTTCCAATCACATCAAGTGGTAGTCCTCACCATTTACCCCCTGAAGCAGATATTAAGGCGTCCCGAGACATCTGGGTGGTTAGCCAAATGGGCAATAGAACTGAGTGAATACGGGGTAGAATTCAAACCCCGCCCGGCCATAAAGGCGCAAGTATTGGCCGACTTCTTAGTCGAAATGACCTTAGTAGAAGAGAGCACCTCCATCCCCGCTTGGTCCGTTAGCGTTGATGGATCTTCTACAGCCACAGGAGGTGGCGCGGGCATCGTATTAACGAACCCCAACGGAGATGAATTCGAATATGCTCAACGATTCGGATTCACGGCCTCAAACAATGTGGCTGAATATGAAGCCTTGATTGCCGGAATCAGCCTTGCCCTAGCAGCTGGAGCACGTAAGATCCTAATACAAAGCGACTCTCAGCTCGTTGTTAACCAAGTACTCGAAACCTACGAGGCCAAAGAAGACTCCATGGCCAAATACTTAGCTCTCACACACAATCTATTATCCAAGTTCGAGAGCTACGAAATAAGACAAGTGCCTCGCTCCAGTAACATCCATGCGGACAAGTTGGCTAGGCTTGGAAGCTCCATGGCAAGCATTGGGAGTCGGAAAGTTACTCTCCTCACCTTGCCTCAACCGGAGATAACTTCAACCAATGAAGTGCATTACAATGAGGAGGACGAACTGTGCTGGTTCACTCCAATCATAAAGTATCTCAAGAAGGGAGAACTTCCAACTGATATCACCGAAGCACGGAAGTTAAAAATGAGAGCCGCTTGCTTCGTGATAGTGGGAGAAGATCTTTATAAACGAGGATTCTCATTCCCCTATCTCAAGTGACTCGACCCAACTACAGCGAATTATGCACTTCGAGAAGTACATGAAGGCATTTGCGGCAATCATTTAAGCGGTAGAACCTTGGCTCTCAAACTATTGAGACAAGGCTACTACTGGCCAACGATGCATGAAGACGCAAAGAAAGTAGTCCAGAGGTGTAAGCCCTGCCAAGAGCATGCCAACATCACCGGCCAGCTGGCAATGAAGGCAACCGATTGACAGCCCCATCCCTTTCGCCCAATGGGGGATGGACCTAGTCGGACCATTCCCGCCCGCCACGGGAGGGCGCAAGTTTCTCATTGTAGCCATGGATTACTTCACCAAATGGGTGGAGCCCGAACCCTTAGCACGCATCCGAGAAGAAGAAGTCATCTAATTCCTATGGAAGAATATTGTGTGTCGCTTTGGGATCCCACGTTCCATTATTTCAGATAATGGAACACAATTTTGTGGCGACAAAGTGAAGAATTGATGCATCGGCTTAGACATCAAACAGTTATTCACATCCGTAGCCAATCCACAGGCTAACGGACAGAAGGAGGTCACGAATCGCACTATACTCCAACACCTTAAAACAAGGCTTGGAAGTGCCAAAGGGAAGTGGGTGGAAGAATTGCCTAGCACCCTAGGGGCTTATCAAACCCCCACGAGCAGCAACCGGAGAGTCGCCTTTTAATCTGGCTTTCGGCACAGAGGCTATCGCACCCGTTGAAATCGGCGAACCATCTCGGCGAGTCACCAACTATGATCCCGCAGCTAACGAAGAAGCTATGCGAGGGAGCCTCGACCTCGTAGATGAGTTACGAGAGATTGCATGCATCCGACAATAAATGTACAAAACACGAATGACCAAGACCTATAACTCAAAGGTCCGCGCTCGATCCTTCCAAGTGGGAGATTTAGTCCTCCTAAATGATGAAGCCTCGCGCCCCATTGGTAAGCTCGACCCAAAATGGGAAGGACCATACAAAATCACACAAGTGGTCAACACTGGAGCGTATCGTCTCGAGAACCTTGACGGACACCCTATACCCAGAACCTGGAATATAGGGAACCTCAAAAGGTTCTACGCATAAGGTATACACCCGCCTTACTTCAAATTTGTTTAAATTAACATCCATATCCCCATCATACAAAAGTTGCTTACAAACAACTATCCCCGCAGGATTCGCGACCTTCCACGTCACTCGTCTTGCAAAAATGTCTCTAAGCGCCTAAGAAGTTTCTACTCCATAAAGAGGTGCGTAAAAATCCCACTCAAACTGGGGGGCTATTTATATTACCTGCATCAGCATTCCATAACCACCCTTCATCACCTTCTTACAGGTGGAGAATCAATTACGAGGGGACGCCTACCAACCATCACTTGCCCAAGGAGAGAAGATACTCCGCACTATCTCACCAAGGGTAACATCACTTCTACTACATGATATCACACGCATGTTCTTGTATATTTATACCAACCTAATAATGTCGTCCCTCCTAACAGGCATGATCACGCAATAAATCACAGCGACTCACGAGTTGATTTCATATATCGGAGGGCGAGAAAGAGAAACGATCCCCTTAGTGGGTACGTGACGTTATAGTACACATCATCCCAACTTATGCAATTACTAAGTCTTCAGTACAAGTGTCTAAAATTTTCTACTATACTTTTGAGGCATAGAGACCCCAAAGACATTCGACATACAACCAGTATGGCAAGCACAGGCGAGTACAAGGAAGATGTGGAAGAAGAATAATTGTTATAGTCACATAGAATAGTTTTTTTTATTATTTCGACTCGGTTGCTTTAGCAAGTTTATTTCCCTTCGCCTCACGTAGGCTTATGACAATTCTCACTTTCTACCATTGAATAAATCAAGTTTTTTCTTTACTCTCGATGTTATTATCTCTATACTATTTAACCATTACGACGAGTTCATTTCAATACAACCCTACAAACACTTAGATAAATTAAGATAATCTATATAGCCTGGCCAGCTGGATTATCTAAGTCTCTTTATCTGTTTTACTGGGTCCTACTTTTAAAATGTGGCCACAAACCTAACATACTTAATATCCACGCGGTCCGAACAAAGGGCACGACCCTTAACAAAAACCTTGAGAGAATGATCCCTTCCTCAAGTACATTCCATACAATGTTAAATGTAAATACATATAAGCAAAGCATAAAACTCTTGACAATGTCAAAATAAATAAATCAAGATATCAAACTTCAAATGGCAAACAAGGAAGAAAATTCAAACGAAATAGTAGTGGACATACCCATCTACATCACCGATAAAAATAAACTAAGAGTTCTATAAAAAAAAGGGTGTTTAACTATCCTAGCAAGCAATCATAAAAATCTAAGCTCCCCCACCAAGAGCGGAAGACGCCCCTGCAGTGGGGTTATCAGCAACCATGTCATCCACGAGCTCAATGCCCGTCTCATTGACATTTGCCTCATCCTCCCCTTCATCGGAAATACCGGGCTCCATCCCTCGAATAACCCTCTCACTGATGCCACCCACCACGCAAAGGTATTTGCGACAGGTACGAACTAATGGCTTATAGACTGCAGTCAAAGCACG